AAAAAAAGTAAATTATTAAATCTTAAATCAAAAAAAAGAAAAAAGGAAAATAAAATAATATCTAAGAAAATAAAATTAAATAAAACAAAATAAAAAGAAAATTAAATAAAATGGACTAAAAAAATTAACTTAAATATAATATTATCAAATAAAATCAAATTGAAATAAAAATATTAAATTAAAAAAATAATATTAAAAAAAGAAATATAAAAAAAATAAAATAATATCGAATAAAATAAAATTAAATTAAATTAAATTAAACTAAACAAATTAAAATAAAACTAAAAATTAAATAAAATGCTACGCCTATAGAGCTCAAAGAATATCGTCATGAATTCATGACATTATGAAATATTTTGAGAAAGAGAGCATATATACCGCCAAAAGGGAAATACATGCATTCTTAACCAAAATAATAATCAATAATCATCGCTAATATTTTTTTTAAAATAAATTGTTAAAAAAGTGACAACATAAATTTTGTTAAATATATGCACATGAGCGTTGTATACTTTTAAAGTCAGAAAACTGTAATATTTATACTTCGTAATTCCCCGAAATCGATAGTAAACAATTGGCGCCAATTGTCCACCATTTCAGCCGAAACTCACGAAGACCCATTTTATGCGAGAAATTTCACAACTCTAAAGTTGTTTGTATATCAATCAGCGTCGTCACATGAGCCTTATGGCATCAATGTATGTCTATAGATAAATTTTGGACACAACAATAACAATAAATATAGCAGATATACATACATACTATATGTATGTACGAGTAAATGCGTGCATGTGTGTTTAGCACCTTTAATCACGCTTATCGCCATGTGTTGGCGCTCATATTGCCAATTATTGTTATTTTCGCTAAAGCGAAAATGTAACGTCAACAACAACAACAAGTTAAAATTACCTACGTATGTATATATGTATGTACGTGCATATAAAATAATAAAATCAAATCAATTGGCACATAATTTTTTAATTCTCAAGACGACAATCAACGCCTGTCCATTTTGCCCACCTGCACGTGATACCAGCCAGAACGTCGTTTCAAGTTCAGAACTTACCTACACTCAGACACATATGTACATATATACATATGTAGATATCTCATACGCCCCGTCGCATAGGCGCCCACACACCCGCTTATCTTTCGCAATGTTCGAGCTGGTGTTCTGTGCTCTTTTTGGACTGACCTTCATTTTTAATTTTATTTGTTTTTTGTTTTTTTTTTATTTATTTATTTTTTTGGTCTTTTGTTTTTTTTTTTTTTGTTTCAGTTTCACTGTTTTCTACTCGAATACTTGCATTTCTCTGCTTTGCTTTGGTTATGCCACGTAATGCGTTGAAGTCCGAAGGCAAACAATGATATCGAGCGCCAACGATTATGAAACGCTCGTGCGGTGCATTAATATTTTTTGTTTACATTCGATTGAAGCTCATAAGTTCTTGGTATCTTAAATTTCAATAAAGTTTGGGGCAAAATGCGTTAGTTGCGAATTTATTTCAGAATTTAAAATGTCTTCTCATGGTGAATTGGGTATAATCACTTAAATGAATGGCCAAAAAATTGTAATTTCAGCACCTTACGTTTGCTTAAAGGAGAAGATTTATGAATAAGCATAAAAATATTTTATATTATTTTTTTATTTTTTAATTTTTTTTATATTTTTTTTTTTTTTTATTTTAATTTTTTTATTTTTTTTTAATTAATTTATTTTTTATCCTTTTTTCTACAGCACTCTACTAAATAAAAATTTAATTTACTTTATTTAAATGTAACGTCCAAACAAATTCTCTTCCCCAAAAGTTTCTTTCCTCGAAATATATTTTAATTACCACTTGCTGGTTCCGGCCACACGTTGTGCTGTGCTGTGTGTGTCTCAAAATTTTTAACATCTTTTACTGACCTATCCAATTTCTTTGACGTTTTTTGGAGCTCTCTTAAATCCTTATTCAATGGCGATTTATCTAAGGATAGCATAGTTCTTCATTGACTTCACTCCTTCTACCCTCAGCACATACACATATAGAATCAAAAATTCAATATTTACTAGAACATCATAATACTGCTTTCCGCTAATATTTCTCTTTACCGTTGCAAACTAATTTTTGCGTTATTTTAATCGCTGCCAACGACAAGAAAAAGTCCAGAGTTGAGTTTTTACTGTGATTAAAAATTAATAAATCAATAGATTAACGAAATTTGAAGAGTTTATTTGCCATCGGTATGCGAACTATAAATAATAGAAAAATTTTATTTACTCTACCTCCAAAAAATCACACGTGGAGCGAGTGATAACACAAGAAAATATTAATAATGAAAAGAGATAAAAGTATAATCAAAAAATATTTATCAGTCAAGGTTCATTTGCGCCAAACATCCTTGATAATTTGTTAAATTATATAAACAATATGAAAAAACTTAATTGAAAAAGTAAAAAATTAAAATTTTAGTGTTTAACGGATATGGAGGATATTTCTTAGGTGATATAAAAATATATATGTATGTATTTGATGGTAAGAAAAAATAATTAAAATATAAATATGTTCGTTGTCACCTAAATAATTCCACCTTTTTCCTTAAAGCACTATTTATTTTAAGAGCGGATTAAAGGCATTTAAGAACGTTTATTGACAACAAAATGTACTACGCTTTGCGCGGACTTGAACTTAAGAAGCTCATATTTATCTTACTTCTATGTTGTATATATCTCGACTGCATCCTAAGTGTTTGGCGAAAACGTAAGACAGGCAGCTGAACGCACATTTTCAGTCCTGATACGGCAACAGCCTCATAAGCACAATTTTAGATCCGTCGATTTCGTTTCATTAGTCGAAAATGTCAATAAACTAACGGAAACCGTCGAGTCTGACCTTCTAGGGAGCTCTGTTTCGCTTGCCCAAGAAACCTCTTAGAAAAGGCTGGGTACACATCTCGATGAATGGATGCCACATGACTTAAGGAGAGAAAATTTCATGAACCAAATTTCTACCTGCAAAATGGCAAACCCTGCAGAGAGAAGGTAGACTAGTATGCAAAAATTCTAGTTAAAATCAGACCAGTTGATTTTTTGTCCACTAGTAACTGGTAAGGGAGGAATAATAATTTCTACCGCGATTTATTGTTGTTATATCGGCACGCCACAGCAGAATACCATTCTCTGCTCTGCGCTGCTCTGTTGAAGTGTCTAAATGATGTTGTCACGATAGCCGAGTGGGAAGAGATTACTTCGGTAGCGAGTTATGCTGCAACAGCCCATCTTACATACCGCACAGCCATAACACCCGACTGTAATAGAATATACAAACACAAGTATTTCATGCGGTACAACAGTCAGTAACGGCATCGCTCTCATAAGATAGCTTGCAATGGACGGAAGGCATGTACAATGGGTAGTTGCAACATTAGGCTAACGCTCCTAGTCTTGCTTGAAGGCAAATAATAATAATCTTTCATTTTTGGTGAAGCAGAAATTTTCACCAATCCGCTACGTCTGAGTTTTATTTACTTTTGTTGTGGTGCACAGCCGTCGTTGCTTTCCACATCTCAACGACTTTCTAGTGGTAAGAGGTCATCACTGTCTTGTGTGAGATTTACTTTTCGATTTTCGCAGCAAACAAACTTATTTCAATTTTTAATCTATTTCATTTATTTTTTCTTTTTCTTTGTTAAGAAAATGTTTCATAAGTCTAAATGAACTGGTATACAACTAGTATGCAGCTGATGCATAGTTGATTACATGGGAAATACATAGGAGGGTGACGAACTAGTTGGCCAAAATGGCATCTCAGTTGGGTACTAGTTAAGAACTGGTATTTTTCCCTGCATGGAAGCTATCGAGCAAAGCCGTGCATATTTTTCATAAATCGGATAACTGTAACTACGGTAAATAAAGCTTTCAAGTCAAGGCAAAAATGACAAAAATTACGGATAACCTTTTGCTAAAACCTCATTGAAGATTCATAAACATAAACACTTATTTTCCAATTATTGTTTTGTCTTCTTTATAAGCTGTACTTTAAATTATTTTTTATATTTTTCTTTTTATTTTTTTTTTAAATTTAGTTTTAATATTTGAACATCATGCATAACTGAACTAACTAAATTTTCTTGTAGTTTCATTAATACTACTAATACTACTACTCAGTAATTTTCCATTAATATCACAATTATATCGCGGCCGAAATAGCCAAGTGGCTAGCATTACGAGTACGTACTGCCATTCGAAAGGTCAGAGTTCGAGTTCAACAACCAAAAGTTAAAGAGAAAAGCCATTGCGTTCGTCCCTCGACGGCGCATTGCCAAAGCCTCCGAATATATTTCTGACATGAAATAAAAACTTCCCATCAAATACCAGCAACCGTTCGGAGGCGACTTGGCATAAACTGCAGGTGCCTCCATTTGTTGGCGGAGAAGCTCGGCCGTTAATCGCGGCAGCAGTTACAAAGCGCCAATTATACATATATATAAATATGCTTCAGAACTATTACTTCAGGTTTTATTAATAAAATTCGCCTTTCCACAATATTGTATTATTACAAAGTTAGTTAATTATTTTATTATTGCAAATTATGAGTAATAATAATGTTGATAATTTCCGAGATAAAATCAACCATTGTCAATTTCGTATCATGTGAAAAACATTTTTTTATTTTTAATTTCGTGTTCGAAGGTAATCATTATTCACTCGACTTGCATGCGAACTAATCAATTTATTAAAATATTAAAATGAAAATTTAATTAATGGCAATATCACCTTACGATGGCATCTGGGTCGTAAAATAATTGTCGCTATTAAAAGCTACGTATATATTGTAACAGCATTTGACACAATTTATCGCCAAACAATGCATTTAAAAAAAAAAAACTATAAACTCGCATGCGATATTTGGTAGCTGAAACAATTAAAAAATAAGTGATAAAGATCTTAAAAATCATTTTATTTTCTAATATACAAAATGGTTAAGAGTTTTTAGTATAAATACAGTGTGTTGAGTATGGAAATGAGTAGTCTACCAAAACCGTTGAAATCTAAAAAATTACAATAACAATGAAGCGCAACTTCGGTATTTTTTCGGCGATGCTAGTGCTATTGGTGAGTGTGAGAGAAAAAAATACATATAAAATAAAAGAAATTAATGTAAGAACCAAATTCGGACACACCGAGCTGGATAACATAACACACGTGGCTGGAAAGTGCCTTGGATGACTTGAGAGAGAGATCAAGCTGTCGGCTGCTTTCGTTTCGTACGTGGGAGCAAAATGTTATGAAATATCTCCAGCATCTGATGATTGCATGAGCGCAAAGGGTTTACTGCAGCATAATTTTCGAATTTTTTTTAAGAAACTTAAAAAGTGTATCGAAGTATATTATTTAAAGTCATCCAACACAAGGAGAATCCAAGCAATACTATCTCTAACCAAGAGGACCATAAAATCTACGGGCATTGTCATAAGAGACGATTGGTTTTAAAGACTAAAAAGTCCGCAAAATTTCGGCACTCCATTTGGCTGCAAGTAGTCTCTTGAAAGAGACTTTATTTCAGTCTCCTAGAAATGTCATAACAAACACAATCTCCAGTGAAAGTTTAGGTTGGAAGCCTTTTACGTATGAACCGTAAGACTAACCAGTCCGGATTCTATAACAACGCGAAGAAATCTGAATGGGGTGTCACAGATGTGTAGAGAAATTCGAAAATTTATACACAACGGACTCTTCTACAATTTAATATGGAGGCACAAGAGTCATATGAAATTTTACTAAAATTTTCAGGGAACTCGAAATCTGGGTTTATTCGGTAAATATTCGGTATTTTGATAACGAACATGTCAAACGTAGAACTCTTGGCCTCCCTCTCCAAAAAAAAAAAGAATATATTTCTTTTACCCCTCATCAAAGGGAGACTTTGGAAGTTCTAAATGACAAGTTGTGCACTATTCAAAGACCCCTTAACAACGACATGAACATTTTTCATGAGAGAATTGAGGGTGACGAGAAATTGCAATAATATTTCTTCCACTCCTTACGTGTAGCATAAAAATATAACAGTAATTACCAGACATTAAACATAAAATTCTTTCCTACTCAGGTTACTAATATCGTCAACGCACAAGGCGGCGGTGGTGGTGGTGGCGCTGGCGGTGAGGCTGGCGCAGGTGTCGGTGCTGGCATGAGTATGGGTGCGGGCATGGGTGGCGGCGCTGGTGGTGGAGCCGAGGGTGAGGGTGGCGCTGGTGCTGGCGCTGGTTTCGGTGCTGGCTTCAGTGTCGGCGGTGGTGCTGGCGCCGGCGGTCAGGGTGGTGGCGGTGCTGGCAGACGCTGAACAGTGCAGACTATACCTGGATATGTTGATTTGTTCACTGATAAATGCAAATGTAAATAAATGTGTGTTTGTGTAATGCAAATAACAAAATTCAACTTTTATTTATTTATACATTTTTTTTGTTTTTGTTTTTGTTTTTGTTTTTTTCTGTTACTGTTTTTCTTCCTCGATGGGTTTGCTGGTGTGGCTCGGCGGCATGTGGCATGCGCGACAATCAGTCATTTCGCATGCGATTCCGATTTCCGCTTTTCAATGCTAAGCAATTGCACGCGCAACCTAAACGTAATCCATAATCGTTCAATGGCGTGAGGAAATTTTTTTTTGTTTGTTTTTTTTTTTGCGCCCAATTCATGGGAACGCAACTTTCCTGGCAATGTGCGTTGTGCGTGCGACTTTTTTTTATGAAAGTACATGCCTAACAAATGGCGTAGATATGTATGAGGTGGCGACGGCGACGGTGATGGCGACTTCAATTATCGATTGTATAATGTGAAATTCGAGCGCGTGAATTGGGTGAGTAAGAAAAATATTTTATGGCCCCATAAATGTTATAGCTACGTCATGTGTACTCATTCTACTTTTTGCACACTTACATACTCGCTTAGCCGCAGGCTTGATATGTACGTATGTATACTTCTTTCTACGGAGCTTGTTAATGGATTTCAGCATAGTGAAATAGCGCGCGCGCGTGTAAAGTCCGAAGCTTTGTCAATGCGAACATGAGCCTCTTCGCGCCGTGTCTTATCAGCTGCGTGCTGCGCTGTCTGTTTGCAGCTATCTTAGCGCCAGGCAAAACTTTTGTTTTGGTTTTTATTTTATTTCTTGTCATGCCGTTATGCGATAACTGGGGCGTCTGTGAAATCCCCTTGCTGCGGAAGCGATAAATATTTACAAGTTTTTAATAAAGTATCTGGTTTCGCGCGGCGTCGGAAATGCAGGTGCGCATATACAGTGTGTTCCGAAAGTGTTCACATAATGCACCCTTTCCTGGCAACACTTCATGAAATATTTTGTGACGAAATGAAAATTAACCTTACTAATTCAGATGGATTCATTAGGACGTGGCATGATAAGCGAGATGGTCCTGCAGAAAGAAATATGCTAGCGCACACTAAAATTCGAAAAGTGTTCCCTTATGGGGTGTGTGGTTATTTTTGTGACGAAAAGGTGGGAAAACTGCGTCTAATCAGCGAAATAATCCAAACTACAGTCTGCATTAGCATTCTAGAGGATACTTACTTATTCCTACCTTTGATATTTTTTTTTGATGCGAACCCGGTGATGTGATGATGAACCTAAACGTACCAACCGCATTACAAAATCTTGGTTGCCAAATAACAGCTCAGTTACCCGGATATAAGTTACATAGAAAATTTATGGGCGATTGTAGAAAAACCGTTAATTGCTGAAAGAGAAACACCGAAAACCATAGTTGAAATCTGGACTCAAGTTGAACTTGCTTGGAATAGCTTTTCCTCAGAGTTGTTGGATAATTTAATTCAATCTAAGCCTGACCGTATTAAGGCAGTCTTAAAAGCTTAAGGAGATTCAACGAATTATAAGTTATTAAACTTCAATCGCTACTTTACCTCTAAGTCCAAAATTGTTCACATGAATTGTATTACTTTATATGTACTATAGCTCCAAAAGGATTTTCAAATGAAATGAATTGCTTATGCTAAAAAGTTTTGAATTAAATATATATAACTTACGTTTCGTTAAAATAAAAATTATTTGGATATTTTTATTTATCTAAAAAGTATGCGATGCGGTGTTTGTACTTGAACATTTTCTGAACTCACTGTATATACTCGTACAACCGAATAACTATACAATGCAGAGCAGAGCAGATGGGAGGATGCAGCAAGGCGTGACGAAGAGAATATTAAATAAAATATATTAAACTAAATGAAATTAAAAATCATACTGTAACTAATATAGAAAAAAATGAAAGAAAAAAATAAATCAAAATCAGTTAAAAAAATTAAATTTAATAAAATATAATAAAAAGTATAGTATAATAAAAAACGAAGTAAATTAAAATAAATGAAATTAAAGTTTAAAAAAAATAATTAAATTAAATAAAATTAAAAAAAATACATAGGCTTGAAATAAATATAATACAATAAAAAATAATAAAAAAATAAAATTATTTAAAAATAAAATAAGATAAATAAAATATAGTAAAATAAATATATTAACTATATTGAAATAAATAAGATTAAAAATTTTTTATATATAAAATAAAATTTAATAAAAAATAAAAATAAAATAAAAGAGAATAAAAAAATTAGAATTAACTAAAATAAACTTGTATAAAATAAAATAAATAATAATAATACACAGTGCAATACAAAAATAAATAAAGTAAAACATAATAAAATGAAATAAAAAATACTAAAATGAATGAAGTAAAATAAAATGAAATAAAATAAAATAAAATAAAATAAAATAAAATAAAATCAAATAAAATAAAACAAAATAAAATAAAATAAAATAAAATAAAATAAAATAAAATAAAATAAAACAAAATAAAATAAAATAAAATAAAATAAAATAAAATAAAATAAAATAAAATAAAATAATATAAAATATAATAAAATAAAATAATATAAATTAATATAAATTAAAATAAAATAAAATAAAATAATATAAAATTTAATAAAATAAAATAAAATAATATAAATTAAAATAAATTAGAATAAAATGAAATATAGTAAAACAAAATAAAATAAAGTAAAATAATATGAAATAAAATAAAATGGAATAAATATATTAAAATAGATTAACTTAAAAGTTTTTCAAAATATTTTAATATATTTAAATAATATAATAAAACAAATGAAAATAAAACAAATTAAATAACACGAAATAAATTGGAATTAAAATCGGATAATCGAATTTAATAAAAACGTCAGAGATGACAAACTAACAATGCTGCATTCAGTCTGAGAATTCAATAACGAATTTTCGGTTCTTCCAAAATTTTATAAACAATATCATTAAGCTAGATTTCGTATCTCCATAATTATTATAATTTTTTTCTTTTGTTGATGACCTACAATTAACAAATCATTATACATACGAACCGGGGTTTTTTGTTGTATGGAAGTACGATACATACTTATATACATACATATTTATGTTCGTAAATTATGGAAAGTGTTAAAATAAGCTACAATACATCACCGCTCTATTAAATCATTTTTACGCAACGCAATTTATTGCTCTTCTAACGCCAGTTACAGCAGCGATAGCGATTATGTTTGTATGTACATACATAGTATGTTATTATGTATGTATATGTATGTAAGCTTATTTGAAAATAAATTTTGAGTATTTCACCTGCGTTAATTATCAAATAAACAAACAACGATTATGTGTAACTGTCAAATAAGCTGTAATGATAATAATAACGGTTGTATGTACATACATACAGACGTTTGTATATTGGTTTGTTGGAAAACTACAATTAAATGCATTGAGCGCAAGGCTGAGATATTTACCCTTTGATGTAATGAAATATGTATATGTGTGTGTGTGTATGTAAAAGGTTCGCAGATACTTTTATTTGTATGTTCATAAGTAAACAAATAAATTAAAATGTATGTATGTATATATGTACATATGTATATATGCATATATTTATAGATAGTACGCGTACTGTAATTTCGGTTAATGCGCATTTTCGTCAACTACATTGAATACTAAGGGTGTAATATGCACATTAGGGTGTTGCTTGCTTGAACTTTCACCAGCATTCAACATGCTATGGAGTGCTGTAATTATTTTTTGAACATCAGTCACTACGTATTCGACACATTTGCGCTCATTTTTATTGCCGAAGCTCTCGTTTCCCTCTCTTTTACTACTCATCGCACTTCTTGGGATGCAGTGAAGTCAAACTTTAGTCTTCCGGGTGAATTACCCAGCTGAGCGGCGGCACATAACCAACTAAGGAACCGAACGTTTCAGGTGCAGGTCATTAAACCAAAGTCTTTTGGACATTTTCTGTGATTATCATCCAAAGAGGGCGTTCTCTTCCGAGTGTCTTGTCTATTTTATTTAGAACAGGTTTTTATGTAGCGTGTTCCGCACCCAAGGCACAAGCTGGCTATGTGAGTAGTTTTGACTTTCGGGCATATTCATATGTCGACCGCTCGCAACTGCACCTCTGGTAGAGAGACGCTGCGCTGAGAGACGCGGATATGTTGTAGTGGCTTAACCAAAGATAATTCTCTTTTTAACTTTGACTCATGTATGGAGCATTTACATTACCCCATCTCGCTCACGTTTTCAGGAAACGCGCCGTCTACACAAGAATAGCCATTGGGTATAGACTTGCAACTGCATATCGAGAATTAGAACAACACACGATTACACCCATCGCGATGTTAAGTAGGGTCAGCTGGATCCTGTAGTTGCAACTTCAATATATAATTTCCACGTTGTTGCGTGATATTACGCCACGCTTCCGGCAACATCATTATTCCACGCTCATAGAGTTTCTGGCCCTGATCTGCAATAAACTGAAACAAGTGCAATTTTATATCCTCTTCATTTTCAAAAGTTTTGCCATTCAATGAGTTCTGCAAAGATCGAAACAAACGGTAGTCTGATGGTGCAAGGTCAGTGCTATATGATGGAGGCATCAACAGTGTCCAGCCAAGCTTTCTGAGTTTTTGGCGAGTGACCAAAGCTGTGTACGGTCGAGCCTTGTCCCGGTGGAATATGATACCAATTCTGGCCGCTTCTCGTTGATGGTTGTATGAAATTTATTCAGTTGTACACAGTAGACAAGCGAATTAATCGTTTAGTTTCTTGGAAGCAGCTCAACACCCCAAACCCTTCCAATACCCTGTCAATCCCACCGAACTGACAGAATAATCTTCTTTTGGTGAATATCAGCCTTTGAAGTGATTTGTGGCGCTTCATCATGCTTGAACGAAGATCGATTGACGTTATTGTAATCAAACCATTTTTCAACTTCAGTTATAATTTGCTTGAAAAACGTATCATATTCAGCTACTGCTGTCTTCTAAAACGTTTCTCGACCTACTTTCATAGGAGAAATGGCTTAAATG